CCCCGCGTCTCCCCTGGCGGCGTGCTTCCAGGACGCAGCTCTCGCCCGAGGTGAGACATCCCGGCCTCGCCCGGGCCCTTCCCGGACGGAACAGGTGAGCGCGCGCGGATCGCGGATCGCAGCCCCTGCGGCCGCGCGCGCTCGTCATGTTGCCCTGGGGGCCGAGCTGCCTGTCGGCGCTGGGGGCGGCGGGCACCGCTCTCCTGGGCGCGGCCCTGCTGCTCAGCCTGGCCCAGCACCTCTGGACCCTGCGCTGGACGCTGAGCCGCGACCGGGCCTCCGCCCTGCCCCTGCCCAAGGGCTCCATGGGCTGGCCCTTCTTCGGCGAAACGCTGCACTGGCTGGTTCAGGTGAGCAGCCCTGGGCCCCGGAGCCCTGATGTGGCCCCTTCTTCCCCGGCTCCCACTGGACCCTCTTCGTCTCAAGGCGCCGGGGGTTGTCGCCAGCCCCTTCCCACCGCCCGCGACCCCGGGGGGCGCGCACAGCTCGCCTTTGCCTAGCTGCTCCGGCCCTCGAAGGGACCCGTGCGTCGCCGGAATTCTCCCCAGAACCGCTTAAACGCGCCCCCACGCGACGCGGGAATAAACAGGAGGGGTCTTGGGATCCGAGGAGCGTGCCGCCCTGTGTCCTGCAAGCACAGAATGAGGAGCCAGGGGCGCGCTCAGCCTCGGCGGCCTCGTCTCACCAGTAAGAGCAGGAGCCTCTACATCCCCATAGTGCAGCTGCCAGGCCCACCCGGGGCCCTGTTGTGCAAAGAGGAACGCGCCAGTTGGGAGGTCCGGGTCCTTTCCCAGACGGGCCTGGCGGCTTCAGCTCCCCGGCCCCGCCTCGCCTGCAGGGCTCGCGCTTCCACAGTTCCCGCCGGGAGCGCTACGGGACAGTGTTCAAGACGCACCTGCTGGGCAGGCCGGTGATCCGCGTGAGCGGCGCCGAGAACGTGCGCGCCATCCTGCTGGGCGAGCACCGCCTGGTGCGCAGCCAGTGGCCGCAGAGCGCGCACATCCTGCTGGGCTCGCACACGCTGCTGGGCGCGGTGGGCGAGCCGCACCGGCGGCGGCGCAAGGTGAGTGCACACTGGGAACGGGCCGTGGGAACGCCGGGCCTGCGCTCCCCGGCATCGGCTGTGGGCCGCGCCGGGCAGGTGTCGAGTGCGCCGTGAAGCCGACCAGGGTCTGGCCAGCGGGCGGTGGGCGGCCTCGAGCTGGGCCCTTCGCTTCTTCGGCTTCGGCTTGTAAGGCCAGGACTGGGCTAAAAGGCCCTTTCTTTCACCTCCGGCCTTCTGGGGCTGTGATGCCAGCCGAGCTGCAGACGCAGACCCAGAGGGGGCCGGGAAGGCTTCCCGGGGGAGATGGCAGCGGGGGCCTGGGTGCACGGGAGGGGCGAGGGGCGGTGCACATCCGGGCAGACGCGGGGCAAGTGGCGGGAGCTAGC